AAATCTGAGAAGGGTCCATTTTGCCTTCCACTGCCTTTAATTTTCAAAAAAGCAAAGTCTTGGAATTCAAGGGGTGCTCCTCAAAATTGCTAGTATTTGTAGGGTTGTGCAACTGCACATATGAACCAAACTTGACGGCGGCTATGCCGCAAGTTACGCGCAAGATTCGCGCGTTTACGGTAGCACTTCTGATGCCCGGGAGTGCAAATCAACTAACCTGTGCTCGTATGTCATCAAGCACACCTTGGCCGACTCCACGCTTCTTCAGTTCCTTCTCAAGTTCATCAAATAGCCCCGCAGTATTTCTTCCTCTGTATTTGATGATTTTATACTTCCGCAGATTCTCACGCAGTTCGCAGTGCCTTAATGAGACTTGATCAAACGGAATGATATAGGCACGAAAAGAACTATCACAGTGAAGAAAAATAAAAGATATAAAATATAATCACTCTGCGATTCTCAAAATTTTCATCTACTAATTGTTTCTCTAAGATGATTTTTTTCCACAACTTTTGCTTAATTGTTGGCGAAATGTGGGAAAATATCGAGTCAAGCTCTTTGATAATCTTCACTTCTAAGAAGTGAAAATTTCAATTGAAGACGCCACCGCAATTCAAACTAGAAATTTCTGAGAATGTCATATACGTTGCTAATCGCTGGATCTGAAAGAGTATAAATAAGATAGGGAGGGTGGTGGCGCTGAATTCTAGGTGAGACAAAGCCAAAAAGAATGTTATAAATCCACAACTTGCGAACTTTTTGTGGGATCTGTCTTATGAAAGCTGGCCTGGTGAATTTTGTGATTTTTTGCGAGAGAAGGTCCTCTTATATTGTTACGCTTTATCATAGTGGTTGATGAAAGTATGCTAAAAGTACCTTACCATGTTTGTGGGGCAAAATGTGCATCTTCTACGGTGTGGACCAGTGAAGGCTTTTGTGCATCACCCATCAGTCTTTCGTACTGTTTTTCTATTACACATTTCACATCGCCAGTGCAGTTGTAGCATGCACCTGGCCGTACAGTCTCCCTGAAAATGCAGTATGGAACAAAAATGGTTTGTATATCTCCATAAATTCTGTCCTGTGCAGATCGGCTTGGTAATGCCCGTCGGTGCTGACGAGATTGAAAAATGGCCATGGGAAGAGCAGAGAATGTGCGCTTTATGGTCATCTTTATCATTTCTGTTCTTGCACTAGGGCATCAATATATGAACCATTAAATCAATAGGGGTGCAACAAATTATTTTTCGGTTGAAAAAGGATAGCGTTTTCCAATTTTCTTGCAAGATTATTCCAAAAAATTTTTTCTTACAAATCTATTAGATTTCCTATAAATCTTTTCATAATTGACTTTACTGCCATAAGCTATTTGTTCGTAAGTTTCTCATAGTAATAGGGGTACCATTCGATAGAGCGAAGCGATCTCTACGATGATGACATTTGAACATTCGCATTAGGAGTGATCCACACAAACTTTAAATTCGAATCTAAGAAGATATAAATGCCCAAAGAATTGAAAAAAAAA